AAGTCATTCCCTTAAACTTACAGCCACAATCTTCAGTGAATTTTATTGGGATTGTAAGTTACAACAAATAAAAAAAAGGGGGGGAGGTGAAGCAGAACTGCAAAACAGAAGAAAAAGGATATGTGGTTTTCAACAGTTAGCCGAAAAATGTGCATTTCTATTCAGTGGACCTTATTCAATACTTTGCAGAAAACCTTTCAATTACACTCGCAGGTCTTTTGGGGTTTGTCTCTGCCAGCTTTTCACGTTCAACAGATTGTGAAAAATGGTATTTTCTCTCGCTATACTTAGATAAAACTGTCAACAGCTGACCTCTGCACACTGAACGTCTTGGTTCCTCTGAAAAATGCTCGTCCTTGTTTTTCATTTAAAGAGAACAGCCATGTCTTGGTAGGTTTACAGTTGTGTTTTTGTCTTTACATTGTCAGATGATGGATTGAACACTGTTCTGTGCTTGGGTTATTGTTTTATACCCCAACACCAGTGGTAGGTACTGACTAAAATGTTAGCTGCGCTAACGCTAAATCGCTAATCACAAACATTAGTTCTGCTAATGCTTAAGCGCTACACCAACACAGTATTGAGTGGAAGTTAATGCTACACAGCTAATTTTAGCGATGTTGATACCCACCATGTAGCAATGACACAACATGAACTGTAGCAAATCTCCCTCAACAGAATCAAATTTCTCATTAACCACTTGTGTTTTGTGCTTCAGGAAGTGATTTTTTTTTTCTACTCATGGCTTCAGTTTTATAGTTGCAGAGTGTTGCTAACTCTGTTGCTAATTTTGCCTAATTGGCTACGGTAGGACGTCAGTCAGAATACCCACAATACATCAGTCAATTTTCCGGAGAAAAAAAACATAAGTGATTTGCTGAATCTCATCACAGGTGAACAACGCGAGAAGTATCCGTTTTAGGTATGCTGTTATACAATAATATCTTATCTTCAATTATATAATATATATAAAATCAAGTTTAAATGCTAAAGAGACAACAAAAAAATTAGCTCTTCTATTAACACATTTGCTAAAGAGTGCCCTCCACTGGAAAATACTCTCTCTGCAACCTTCACCCTGACCTATTTGTTAGGTTACTTGGTCTTTATTGTGCTTTTCATTCAGTAATAATCTCTAACAAACTGCTCAGGTCCTCAAAGAGCAACTTTATACTGAGGTTTAGATACAAACAGGTGGAATTTGTTTACCATTTCATACTGGATTTTATTTTTTTGGACGTACCAGAAATTGCCTGAATACAGCTACATTCAGATTTTTATTTGTAAAAAAAGTTGAAAACCATATATCATACGCTTTCTATTTCACAATTATGCATTATCACACTGCTCTTTTACATAAGATCCAACTAAAATGCAATAAAGTTTGTGTTTCTTATGATGAAATGTGGAAAACCCTGACGGTAAGAATGTCTGTTTTTAAAACAAACTTCTAATTCAGTGCATTTGTGGCCTTCACAGTAACTGTTAGTAGCTTTAAAACTTAACATCAGACAGCAGATGCAGTGTGAAAAAAAACACACACACACACAGGTGGCATGATGGTGGTTCGTGCTGCATGGAGACGCGTGGATGAAACTGTGGAGAAGACGAGAAGCCTTCCTCCTCGTTTCCCTCTCAAACTCATCTTTTGGCCTTCGCGAGGAGAAAAAGATGTGGAGAGAAGGAGAGAAAGGCTTCCAGTTTCTGAGACTGAGCGGGAACTTACTGAGTGTGAGTTTCATCATCATCTGCACCATCATCATCCTCATCCTCATCATCCCCTAAGTGTGCAACATGGCCCCTGGGAGAGGAGGGGAAGACAGGAGGGGACGATCAGGGGGTGGGGGAAGGAGAGGGAGGGTATATTTTGTTGCAGTCGGGGAGAGAAGTAATGGGGGCAAGATCAAGCAAATAGGGATGGGAGATGACGACAGGAGAGGAGGAGGAAGGGAAGAGGGGGAGGGAGAGCTGAGTAAAGCTCGGTTCACACACTACGTCTAAGATCTAAACTCAGGGCAGATCTGAAAGGACTGAAGGATTCCAGTCCAGCAGAATAATAGACAAGTCCCTCGTGTTTAACGGCAACCTTTCTCACTCTGCTGATCGAAACTTAACACTTCTCCACTAAATGCTTTCTGTGGCCTCATTGTTATCGCTGGAGATAACTTATCCCAAACAGACCCGGACAAATTCATTGGCACCCCAGGTAAAGATGTAAAAGAAAAAAAAAAAAGATATCTTAAAATAAATAAAACTTCTACAGCATGGAGCAGAATCTCACACTGAACAACTTCTGTGTTAATTTGGCAAAACATGATGGATCATTAATGACATCTTTTCTGTTTACCAGAAAATTTTATCCAGGCACATAGTGCCATTTCATAGCATAATCAAGTAGTTATGGTAACTTCATTTGTTTAAAAAAAATGCTTTAAATATCAAATATGAGAGAAGACATTTTACTCTGGGCTTTTCTCTCTTCAAAAATTCCTGCTATTTCTGAAACTCCGCCTTCAGGAAGGCGCCCCTCTAACAACCCTTTAGCAAAAATTTTTCCAGAGTTTCACTGAGAAGTAGCTAGTCTGAAGGAGCGGAGTGGTGGAGTCTGTGAGGCAGAAGCTCAGACACTAACCTGGAGCTTTGTGGCCTAAAAGCTTAAGCGTAGTGTTTATCTGACCAAACCCAGAGAATCAACTTAGAGTCTCAGAACTTTTATATATATATATATATATATATATATATATATATATATATATATATATATATATATATATATATATATATATTTTTTTTTTTGAGACAAAAAAAAAAAAAAAAAAAATTTTTTTCCTTCTTCTTNTATTTTATTTTGTTTCAAAGAAAAATTAAAAAAAAAAAAAAAAAAAAAAGTGCATTTTAAAAAAAAAAAAAAAAAAAAAAAAAAAAAAAAAAGTCATTCCCTTAAACTTACAGCCACAATCTTCAGTGAATTTTATTGGGATTGTAAGTTACAACAAATAAAAAAAAGGGGGGGAGGTGAAGCAGAACTGCAAAACAGAAGAAAAAGGATATGTGGTTTTCAACAGTTAGCCGAAAAATGTGCATTTCTATTCAGTGGACCTTATTCAATACTTTGCAGAAAACCTTTCAATTACACTCGCAGGTCTTTTGGGGTTTGTCTCTGCCAGCTTTTCACGTTCAACAGATTGTGAAAAATGGTATTTTCTCTCGCTATACTTAGATAAAACTGTCAACAGCTGACCTCTGCACACTGAACGTCTTGGTTCCTCTGAAAAATGCTCGTCCTTGTTTTTCATTTAAAGAGAACAGCCATGTCTTGGTAGGTTTACAGTTGNG